TGTGATGGTTGTGTGCGAGTGGCTTCTCTGGAAGCTCAGATTGGAGATCTCGAGAAGCAAATCGCAACTTTGAGGGAGATTGACAATCTTGAGAGGAGTCTGCTGCAAACTGAGCAGAGTTTAGTGGGGGCAGGTAGTGGAGAGGGAGGAGATAAGACAGATGGGGAACAGGCATGTAGCTGGGTGACAGTGGGGCGAGGAAGCAGGGGGGCAGGGAAGAGGAAAGGCCTAGCTAGTCCTGATTTGGTGCAACCTAGCAGTTTTGCCCGTTTGAGGGAAGATGTTGGGAGCATCAGCTCAGGAGTAGCTGTATTAGAGGAAGCTGTTACTTCTAACAGCCGAGCTAACAGCCCCTCTAGTACGGGTGGGGATCAAAATGTAAGGAAGGCAAGACAGGTTGTGGTGGTAGAGGACTCAATCATTAGGAGAGCAGATAGGGCAATCTGCCTCTCTGATCGGCTCAACTGGACAGTTTGCTGTCTCCCAGGTGCTCGGGTCCGGCATGTTGCTATAGGGGCCGTCTTTAACGCGGGGCAAACGGGGCAGCTGCCCCGGGCCCAGTTACTCCTGGGGGGCCCAAAGCAGCTGCCCTGTGGCCCCACCGCCCATCGCCTGCATTAGAAAAATTCCCTCCCCACCCATGGTCCCGCGGTGCTTGTATTGCGGCTGCCCATACTCTATGGGGGCCCATCGGGTGGCCAATACACTTAGGGCCACCCGGTGAGCACGTTACAGCAGGGGGCCCAGTCGGGTGCTGTGGCCCTTTAACAGCACGACCGGGCCCTCTGATTTACGGCAGCATGGGAGGAAGTGACGTCGGTGAGTCACTTCCTCCCTCTGAGATGATGAGCCGTGCAGGAGGAAGGCTGAGCCAGGAGGCAGCGAGGAGGGGGACTGAGCAAAGAGAGCCAGTCCCCAACTCCCAACCACCCCAACCAGCACACCCCAAGGAAGGTAGGAAACTAGAGGGGGCTTTACTGTTTGCATATTATGTCAGTATGTGTGTGTTTATGTCTGTCAGTAGGTCTGTGTGTGTGAGTATGACTGTGTGTGTGTGTGTCTGTCAGTAGGTCCGTGTGTGTGAGTATGACTGTGTGTGTGTGTCTGTCAGTAGGTCTGTGTATGACTGTGTGTGTGTCTGTCAGTAGGTCTGTGTCTGTGTGTGTGAGTATGACTGTGTGTGTATCTGTCAGTAGGTCTGTGTCTGTGTGTGTGAGTATGACTGTGTGTGTGTCTGTCAGTAGGTCTGTGTGTGTGAGTATGACTGTGTGTGTGTCTGTCAGTAGGTCTGTGTGTGTGAGTATGACTGTGTGTGTGTCTGTCAGTAGGTCTGTGTGTGTGAGTATGACTGTGTGTGTGTCTGTCAGTAGGTCTGTGTCTGTGTGTGTGAGTATGACTGTGTGTGTGTCTGTCAGTAGGTCTGTGTCTGTGTGTGTGAGTATGACTGTGTGTGTGTCTGTCAGTAGGTGTCTGTGTGTGTGAGTATGACTGTGTGTGTGTCTGTCAGTAGGTCTGTGTCTGTGTGTGTGAGTATGACTGTGTGTGTGTCTGTCAGTAGGTCTGTGTCTGTGTGTGTGAGTATGACTGTGTGTGTGTCTGTCAGTAGGTCTGTGTCTGTGTGTGTGAGTATGACTGTGTGTGTGTCTGTCAGTAGGTCTGTAGTGAGCACCGGTCATTCATTGGATGTAGTGTTGGTGTTTGTTAGTATGAGGTAATAGTGAGCACCGGTCATTCATTGAATGTAGTGTTGGTGTTTGCGTTACCATTTTTTTTTTCTTTGCCCAATGTACAATTTTGACCACCAGCTCATAATGATGGATTTTGGCAATATTTTGCCCAGGAGAGATGGTAAACCGTAAAAGGTACAGGGGAGGTTTATGTGCAGAAAGGAGCAGAGTGTATAAGGAACAATATGGAGATATATGTACAGAAATAATGCTTGTAATAGACACTAAAAGTAACAAGCAAAAATAAATAAAAGAAAAATGCAGATATATAAAGAAACATGCATTTAGTGCAGAAAGCAATGAAGAATGTATTCACTAATAGTGAACTGTAGTGAACTCTAAACAGAATTGCAAGTTTTGGGCAAAAGTAGCAGAACTGGGGGGAAAAAACAACAAAATAGCAATTTTTATAATGTCCTGTTTAGTAAAAGAAAAATAAAATAAAAAAATTCTGAAAAAAATGTTAGTAGGTAATATGAGTATTAAAAAAAAAAATTTTTTGGGACAATCTTTACTTTAGTTTTTAGCAGGAAAAGAGAAATAAAATGGGCCATGAGAGCCATTTGTACATTGATACATGGTATGGTATGGCTTTACAGTTTGCATATTATGTCAGTATGTGTGTGTTTATGTCTGTCAGTAGGTCTGTGTGTGTGAGTATGACTGTGTGTGTGTCTGTCAGTAGGTCTGTGTCTGTGTGTGTGAGTATGACTGTGTGTGTGTCTGTCAGTAGGTCTGTGTCTGTGTGTGTGAGTATGACTGTGTGTGTGTGTCTGTCAGTAGGTCTGTGTGTGTTTATGTCTGTCAGTAGGTCTGTGTGTGCGAGTATGATTGTGTGTGTGTGTCTGTCAGTAGGTCTGTGTGTGTGTCTGTCAGTAGGTCTGTGTGTGTGAGTATGACTGTGTGTGTGTGTCTGTCAGTAGGTCTGTTAGTATGTCTGTGTGTGTGTGTGCCTGTCAGTAGGTCTGTGTGTGTGTGTGTGTGTGTCTGTCAGTAGGTCCATGTGTGTCAGTATGTCTGTGTGTCAGTGTGTTTGGGTGTCAGTATGTCTGTGTGTGTGTGCGCCTGTCAGTAGGTCTGTGTGTGTGTCTGTCAGTAGGTCCATGTGTGTCAGTGTGTCAGTGTGTTTGGTGTCAGTATGCCTGTGTGTGTCAGTATGTCTGTGTGTGTGTGTGTGCCTGTCAGTAGTGTGTGTGTGTGTCTGTCAGTATGTCTGTGTGTCAGTGTGTTTGGGTGTCAGTATGCCTGTGTGTGTGTGTGTGTGTGCCACTATGTCTGTCTGGGTGTGTGGTAGTATGTGTCTGTGTGTGCCAGTATGTCTGTCAGTGTATGTGTCGGTGTCCATATGTCAGTATGTATGTGTCAGTCTGTCTGTCAGTTTGTATACATATAATCTGTGTGTGTATATGTGCATACATCTCAGCATTCACACACTAACACTACATACAAATACACCCCTGCATTCAAACTCCAACACTAGGTACAAACACATGTCTGTGTTACACACCAAAATTATATGTAAACACACCCTTGCATTCAAAAACCAACACTACACATAAATACATGCTTGCAATCACGCCAACACCACATACAAACTTATTTTACAAAAAAACCTGTTTACATTCAAACACACAAAAACAGCGTTGTGCTAAATACAAACCTTCAAACATGGGTAAATGGTAGAGCCACAGCTGTCAATGCATTGCTGAAGTTGCACGACAGATGGGGAACTACCTTCTAATCACCCGTGCGATAGGGAGGCACAAAAAAATTCTTGCACCTCTCTACTTTAGGTCTGCCTCTGCGTTGGGGTGGAGGACATGATTGCACACCTGGCGAGGGTACCAGGGGGCCCAAGCAAATGCTTTGCCCAGGGTCCAATCAATATTAAAGACGGCCCTGCCTGCAGCGGACGGTTTTAAAAGGATTTAGGGCGGCCTGGGGGGCAATTGCCTCCCTCCCCCCCGGCCCTGCTTAAAGATACCAAATTAGGGAGCTGTTTGGTAGATAGCTCTGATTTGGTATCCTTGAATATGGCAATACCACATAAGGTACCAATCTAGGGAGGTGTCTACTATAGCTGAAAGAAAAGTGCTTGTCATTATATAGATCTTTCAGCTTTACTAGATAACTCCCTAAATTGGTACCCTTTTCTAGATTGAAGAATAACACAGAGAGCAGTTTAGTAGATCACAATTTTACTTAATATCCTTAAATATGGCAATCCCATGTAACGATACCAAATTAGGGAGCTATCTACTAAGCAGTTGAAAGGGGAAACGTAATCTGATCTTTCTGCTATTTAGTATATAAGTGCATAATTTGTATGTGAGATTGCCATATTCAAATATACCAAATTAGGGGCTATCCACTAAACAACTGAAACATCAAAATTGAGAAAATAACGCATAATATGACTGAATTTAAAGAAAAATAACTACATTTGTTGCATGAAATCTGGACAAACTGAATTGCTCAATGGATGAAATTTGGTTTGTACGACCCAACATTTTTTAGGGTGAATACATTCAGAGGAACCAAATTTTTCTGCTGTGCACAAGTCTACAAGTCAGTATTGGTAAGAAGCCTTTTTGTTCTCTGTCCAGGGTGCCTGCTATGTTATGTTCCCTTCTGTATCATTATTTAACTGATGGTTTATGGGTAAATTTTAATAAGTGAACCAGAACAGTGCTTCGACCTTGTCCATATAACACTGACTGCTATAGTAGTCTCTAGTTTTGCTCCTGTATTTTGTGATAAGTAGAACACTCAGGAAAAAATATAAAACGTGAAAATAGAGAATCCGACACCGGGAGCTCTATAGAAACAAATTTGATAACTTTAATTTTTGGTGTCAAACATGCTTTAATATACATCCATTCATTTTCCCCATTATTCCAAAAGATATGCACTAATTAGAGCACTGGTTAGCAGACAGCTCCCTAATTTCATACCCATAAATATGGCAATCCCACAGTTGAAAAATTAAATGCTTGAAATAAAAGGCTTTTAAAAATGTATTTTGATCTTTCAGCCGTTTAGTAGATAACTCCCTAATTTACTATCCTTATGTGCCATTGCCTTAAAGAAACACTCTAGGGTCAGGAAGACAATCCTGAGAGTATAGTGTTAAAACCACTATCTAGCCACCCTGACCACCCTCTTCCCCCTCCCTCCCCCCCCATATATATTAAAATCTTACTTTTATCCAAGCTGCTGCTGGCTCTGGCCCTGGTCTGCCTGCTTGGCTGACATCATCAGAAGTGGTGAAATGGGCTAATCACAATGATTTCTCATAGGAGAGCACTGGATTGGCTGAGACTGTCAATTATGCAGATCAGGGGCAGAGTCAGCACAAGCCAAACATAGCCCTGGCCAATCAGCATCTCCTCATAGAGATGTATTGCATCAATGCATCTCTATGAGAAAAGTTCAGCGTCTGCATGCAGAGGGTGGAGACACTAAATGTCAGTGCTGCTCACTGTGCAGCACTGCCCCAGGAAGCACCTCTAGCACCCATCTAAGGAGTGGCCAGTGGAGTAATCACTAGGCTGTAATGTTCTTTAAAAAAACTGTTTACTGCAAAAGGCCTGAAGGGAATGATTCTACTGACCAGAACAAATGCAATAAGCTGTAGTTGTTCTGGTGACTATAGTGTCCCTTTTCATATGGCAATCCCACATATGGGTACCAAATTAGGGAGCTGTTGTGTTTAGTAGCTAGCTCCCCAATCTGATATCTTTAAAATTGAAATTCCACATACGGGTAGCAAATTATTGAGCTATCTACTAAACAGTGGAACGACCAAAATGTTAAAAAAGCACTTTTCCTTATATTGCTCATTCAGGAGCTTAATATATACGTTCCTTATTTGTTACCCTATTTATGGCACTCCTAACAATGGATACCAAATTAGGGAGCTATCTACTAAACAGCTGAAAGAAGAAAAATAAGTCATTTCCCTTAATTTTGCACGTTTAGTTGGTTAGTAAATAAGTCCCTTATTTGTTATCATTAAGAAAACGAATGGATCAGAAACAATTTGTTTCAAGTCTTTCCAAATTCGGTCCTTGGTTTTTAAAGTATATAGAAATTCAGACTCTTTTGAATTGATGAATTCTGACGAAATTTGATTCATTGCACAAATCTAATAAACAATCAAATTCAAAGAATTCAAAGCGAAATTCAAATTTAAGGTCAAAATTGGTGAACTGAAAAAAATCTCAAAGTCAGCTGTATCTCAGTTTCAATTCACTTGGATTTTTTTGTGAATACCCTGGAATTGTCTTTCAATTCATGGACATGAAAATATCTGCTCCTGGAATAGGAAAAGCGATTGGAGTTAAGCTGTTCAGAGCTGCCAGTTGCAAATTTTCTGTCTTGTTTTTGTCCTGTACTCCTGGAAAGCATAGCGGACAATGAGTTTACAAATATAAAGTAAAATCTACTGTACTGTGGCTTCTGACAACATTTAGCACTTAGTACTGCGAATAGCGGCTGTGACTTCATGCACAAATGTACAACTTTATGTTTATCATAGAAATCCAATAAAAATAGAAATTGGTAAAAAAAAAAAAGTCACCTGTTTTTCCCTTGGTATATTTCCCTATTACTATTTGGTGGCAGATATAACACTGACAAAATAAAAATGAATGCAGAAAAATCAGACAGACATTCACGCAAACTGACTCATAGACAGAGGTTTTTAAACCTACAGACAAAACATCAGTGGATGGATGGAGAGACAAGTGGATGGATGGATGGAGAGACGAGTGGATGGATGGATGGATGGATGGCGAGACGAGTGGATGGATGGATGGAGAGACGAGTGGATGGATGGAGAGAGGAGTGGATGGATGGATGGATAGGTAGATGTATGAGTGTTGGGATGGATGGGTGTTAGGGATGGATGGATGGGTAAATGTATGGGTGTTAGGGATGGATGGATGGCGAGACGAGTGGATGGATGGAGAGACGAGTGGATGGATGGATGGATGGATAGGTAGATGTATGGTGTTGGGATGGATGGATGGATGTTAGGGGTGGATGGGTGTTAGGGGTGGATGGATGGATGGGTGTTAGGGATGGATGGATGGATGTTAGGGGTGGATGGGTGTTGGTGGATGGATGGGTGTTAGGGATGGATGGATGGATGGATGGATGGGTAGATTGTAAAATGTCTCCTGGATTTGCTTTGCTAATTGCTGCACTTGTTGCTCCTCCTGCTATAATAATATAATGAATTATTTTGCCCACAGACAGCTGGAGCCCTGTTAATAGCCCCTTTATTTGCTATATATTACCATGTAATGGCAGCAGATGGGCTGTCCAGGGCTGGCCCCTTGGTGCTGGCTATATCAGATCTGAATAGTAATAGGGGGTGATACTCAGTACCTGTGTGTGCTGCTGTCTGACAGGCTGGCACTGGAGGAGTTAAATCAGATTAGCTGAGAATAGATGGAACTATTGCATTGAATGAGAGCAAGTTAGACACAGTATCACTGCTGGAAGAGTTAGGGATCGTGGATAAATTCACCCTCCCCGCGCCAGACGTTGTCAGCCCCCCCCACCCCCTATGCTGGCTGAGTGAGGGCGGACAGCGGGCTGGCACGGACAGCAGGTCTATCCCCGGGCAGGGTGCCCGCTCCGGAGCGGGACTGGGGGGCTGAGCCGGTAGGTGGAGGTGTGAGGATCCGGGAGGGGGAGGTGAATTTGCAGACGGCCCCTTAGCAATCCGCACATCTGGGCAGCTCAGGAGGTCCCTGTGCAGAGAGCCACTGCGGGCATCGCAGCCTGGGCAGGGGAGCACAGGCAGAGGTAAGGGGGCACAGCCGGGGCATGCCAGGATGGGTGGGGGGACACCCACTGCTTCCATCCAGTGCCAGCAAGGGGCCATGCCATGCTCCCAGCAATGCCCATTCAGGGGCCACAGGTACCCACCCTCCTCCTCCTCATCCATCCCTGCAGCAGGGGTTACAATCCGTGCATGCCCACCTGTGAGGGGGTAGGTGGGGGTGCCAATCCTTTCATATCACTGATACTGGGTGCTCTATGGAGATATTGTAAGATGGAATGTTCATTATTAAACCTTCCAATGAGATTACATAACATTCCAGATATATTAATATGTCATTGACTGAAATCTGTATCCCTTACAGGGGGGGTCAGTGCCAGAGAGCACAGGATGAGGGCATGGATGTGAGAAGCTCTGTATAATTCATCACACTCCTTATAGGGGGATATAGACAGCCTGCATCCTCACCTCTATCTGCAACAACATGCTGGAGGTAAGCATCACACATTGATTAAATAATGCTGGGAATGCAGGGATCCATGGGGGTGGCTGGGTGGCATGATTGGGGGTCCCCACAAAGCTGGATGGGAAGGGAAAGGCTTGCATAGTGCAGGATTCAGCTGCTTTTAGATGGGTTTGCAGAGAGGAGCTGGCCAGGCTGGCAAGATGTATTGCAGCTGTGATGGTCTAAGAAGGAGAGAGGCAATGGAGGCACAGAGCAGGCATTACACCAGGAGGAATTGTCAGTAGCTCCAGATTGATCAAGTCTGGATACATTTCTTTATTAAATCCCTGGCAGGATACACAGTGAGGATCATGAGGTAAAGAGGGAGGAGAGGGTGATACTTTGTGCTGGAGGAACATTCTGGGTGATGGAGATCAGACTGTATGATAAATAGCTTGGCAAATAAATGATAACAGCTATGTGTTTAATGGAATTCATGTGAATCGGATGAGCAGATCCCATGAGGATGTACAGAATGGGGGCTTATTCTATAAAGCATATATATGGGTCAATATATTTATACGCGTGTGTGTGTGTGTGTGTATATATATATATAGAGAGAGAGAGAGAGAGAGAGAGAGAGAGAGAGAGAGAGAGAGAGAGAGAGAGAGAGAGAGATACAAAATACATAGCTGGAAATAGTGCCATCAAGGGGATCTAGCGACAGCACAATAAAATGCGAGACCGAAGGTCAAGTGATTTATAAATGTCTCCAGAATGCCGAGATGGAAGTTTATTATTTTTTTTAATACAATACATGCCTGCTTCACTGTTCTATATCTTTAATATTACATGCTATTTTTAGGTTACGGGTAGTATATATGTTCAGCTAGTATAGGGGTTAAAATTGTAAGGAATATTTATATAGCATTATATGTAGTGTAATAATAGTAGTGTAGGGGTACAGTGTATTTATTGGTAAACTATTTATTTGTTAAAGGAACAATCCAAGCTCCACCATAACCACTGCATCACGCTGTAGTGGTAATAGTGCGACTAATGGTTTGACTTCTTATCTGTGGCCTGCCTGGCACAACTCCTTGTCTCTTGTCTTCTAGCATGGACTGTTTGAGGCTCCTAGGAGCTTCTGTAAGCTCTGCTGAGCTAAGCCCTGCTTTGCAGAGCCAGCTCATTTGCTGAGAGCATCACCTAACTGCTCTCAACCAATACGTTAAATCCTGTGCATACTCTCAGCTTAGACAGAGTGTCTTGCTGCAGAGAGACACAGAGTGCTGCCCGGCTGATCCCAGGTAGGAAGTCAAACGAATAGTAAATGCTTTGTCTATGTACTTTGGGGGGCAACAGGGCAATAATGAATGCTAGATATGGTAAAAACTATTGTATTTGTTAGTACTTAATTCCCAGGTCACAATTTCCTTCAATCAGTTTGGACCAAATTGGATTGTATATACATAGTATTTAATACCTACTAGTTACATGTGCATGCCTGCTGCTATCTGAGTCTGATTAAATTAAGAATTATTTGAATTAGGGTTAATAGAGCTGAACCTCTCAGTCGCTGGCTTGGCACAATTTGAACATCTTGTGGTACAGAGATTATTTATTCCACTTAAATTACATTTTCACTGGCAACCCTCTTCACTGACTAAGCCAACACTACACTAGTCTAATATTGCCAGAGCCAATACTGACTGGAGTATGATTAAATAGACTTATTACACCATCATTACTGTACCAATACTCACTGAGCCAATACTGACTGGAGTGTGATTAAATAGACTTATTACACCATCATTACTCTAGTAATACTCACTGAGCCAATACCGACTGGAGTATGATTTACTAGACTTATTACACCATCATTACTGTCCTCACTGAACCAATACTGTCTCGCACCCATTCCTGTATCTCAGTAGGGAGCCCGTTATAAAAGTGTTCCAACATAAACAGCTGGAGAATCTCTTCGGGAGATTTTGCCTGCTGCGAGTTCATCCAGTTCTGGGTGGCTCAGGTGATGCGGCTTGCCCACTCTGCATGGGAGTCCTTTTCCCCTTTCCTTATCTCCATGGACTTCATGCGGTATGCCTCCGAAGTTATGGCATACCTGGATAGCAGGACCTGTTTTACAAAGTCATATTCTTGGCCGCCTTTCCTGCTAGTTTTTGGGCCACGATGTTGATCCAGTTTGTGGGGGCGACTTCTTGCAGAAGGCACTGGCGTTCAAAGTCCTGCAGGAAGTTGTCAA